ACCCTGATGTTAGTTTACACTGTACAAATGATAACAGATAAGGAAATGATGGGATTAAGCTGGTCAGGGACTTGCAATAACTTGCTATGATAAGAGCAGCTGCCATATCAGTTTATTAACCCACTAAATCACCACTAATAAATAAGATGATAGTTTTTGTCCATCACGTCTGAAAACCAAGATTTGGTTGCTCAAAGTCTACAAAAATTAAAATGTAACCAAATCAAACAGTCCCCTATGTGTGTGAAATCTATTTGTGGCCTCAACTAGGTTCCTTCTGATTTTTTCCCAACCTGATATGAGTGAGGGGAAAACCCAGGTTCTTTGCAGGCCTCTGTGCTCAGGGCCTAGTACCACTGAGGCACTCGTAAAAGTCTTAACTTCATAACTGCTATTAGTAGTGAAAGGTATTTTCCCCCTATCTGAAAGTTCTTTGAATCTCAAAAAGTTTTTATAACCAGTTTTGCACATTAATACAAGTATGAATTTATTATTCCATTTGTAACATATTCATACCATAAAGTATTCAAGAATTACTCTGTGACTGCACTGCACCAATAAAATTTTGTTTCATTTTTTTTTCAAAACAAGATTTTAAGATATTACAGATCACTATGTACTTCAAATGCGCACCAGTAAAAATTTAAAAATTAAAGAAAAAAAAAAAAGAAACCTGACAGTGAAGCAGGTGTGCTCGGAGTGAGGCTTCCTGGTCACACCTGTTGACCTGCAGAGGTTTTTCCCATAAGCGTTGGCAGCAGTGGTTTCCTACACAAAACATCACACTTGCACCCAGGCACAAAACCATCCTGTTTCTAACTGTCTAACTAATACCATCTTGGCAAACGATAATGTCTGGACTTACATAATGATTATACACATTGGGTTTTTTAAACCTTTAATGAATCTACCTGTTTTCAATGTTTTAGCTCTTCCTTTTGATTGAATAAATTTTTGATTTGTTTAAATGAACTTTTAAAAAATCTCTCACTTTTAATGAGTGAAAGAAGTAGGGGCTACAGCAAAATGAGAGTTGTGGGGACAGTCACCGCGAGGTGCAGTTTTTTCAGAACCCAGAGAGATGGAGTCTGGGGATGCACACAAATTCAATCTGTCTGTAGGCTACAAACCACACAGCTCAGTGTTTTTTAATTTCAAGACTGCACACGTGCACTAGTGAACTTTAGAGCATGGCCTTGCTCCATAAGCTGTAAGACACCTGAAGTCAGTTTTAGAAACAGTGAGACTCATTTGTCCCTGAATACACATAAGCCATTTAAATTAATCAAACCCAACCCTAAGTGAAATGATTGGACCTGCTTTAGTCTATGAAAAGTTGACAAAACTTGAAAACTTGCTTTTAATAATCACCAGAACAGTTACATAATATTAATATATTAATATTTTATAATAATAAATATTTTATAATAACATATATTAATATTTTAATATACCATCTAAAAATTTGGAATAAATGAATAGAAAATTTATGTTTTAAAGTAAATTTTAAAATATTTAGTAATGGTTTCCTTAGGGTTACTAAATTAAATGTTATTTCAACAAAATAAGTTTTGTAAAATGGGGAGAAATTATGACTTCCTGATTCTCCCAGATACATTTACTTCATCTATAATTCTGCTTCATTCAGTTGTTTATACTGTATATCCATTAAAAATATCTTTCACACAATATAAACATATGATATATTAAACAGCCATTGTACAATGATTGTAAATTATAAAATAATGCTTAGGACAAAAGTTGAAATGCAAAAAGTAAAACTGCACTGGTGTTGAAAATGTGCCTCTGAATAAAACACAATATCTCTATGTAAAATTAATGATTAATAAAGCATTGATGAATAGTCTAATATAATAAAATTTAAGAATGTTAGGTCACTAAGAAAACTTAATAAAACCTATACTTCATAAATCACAACTCCCACCCAAAAGCTGTTTTGTAGCTATGTTTTGGTATCAGAAAGAGGGAGGCTATTTTACATTTCTTCGATTAGTAAGCATAAATTTTAGAGTCAGATGAACCTTCACAGAAGTGTCAGCACTGTCATGGGACAGTATCTTTGTGGTCATGGGCAAGTCAATACCTCAGACTTCAATTTCCTCAGTAACTCCAATCTTATGTCCTTTATGGAAACATCAGAGACAACGAATGTGCACATATGTCCATTGTTTTTGTGCAGTGTTCAATAAATAGTAACTTCTGATTGCATTACCAAGATTTTTATATATTCAGTAACTAATTTCTGTTATTAAGGAGAGTGAAGTAGAAAATATTTTTTCTTCCATTCATTGTTATACATTATCTCATTTAATTCTCACAACAATTGCAGGAGACATTATATGTCATTTTACTGATGAAAAGTGGCATCACACAGCTATCTATGGAAATGTGAGATTCACAGTTAAATTTATCCCATTTTAAACCCCATCTTCCTATCTACTGGATTATGTTGCCTTTTAATATACTATCTTCCAAAATAAAGCCTGAACCTATATCTTGGAAATAAAGTCAGGAAAATCACTGAGCTAAGAATAATCACTTCAAAGCAAGACCATTTACAAGACACATAAATTCCACATCTTTCTCTATTAAAAGACAATTTAGATAAGGAGATTTATTTTATAAAAATATCAAAACTGTAATAATCATGTCATAAAAAGCAAATGGCCTACCATCAGTAAGTCAGGAAAAACAACTGTTCCTGCTTTGACCTTAGCATACCTATGGCACTCAGACAGCCAGATAAATGGCCAGGAGTTATCACATGCTGCTCTATCAGCCTGAGCACTAAAGCCTGACCAGTGTCACAATGGACAGGGTTAATGATTCATCCCTAATCCCCAAGGCTCCTTTGGGATTAATTGACTTTCTCTGCAGCCTGCAGACCCCTCTTGGATCTTGTCAAGAGGATTTCTCTGCATTGCTGTGCCTTTTCCCCCCATCTTTCCACTTCAAACACTGTCTGATCTCTCTCTACTTACACAATTCAGCGGGGATCAAATTTCGTAGAAATCATAAAGTGACACTGAGTCAATTTTTAAGTAAAACTGACCTGGTTAGAAGAGATCAATTTTGTCTGTTCCAATATACTTTATATTTCTTTCTCAGGTCACAATACCATTAACATTAGTTGAAACTAGTTAAATAAATATTAATTGATAATCTATTATGTACAGGCAGCAGAAAGGACATAAAAGCGAATGGAATAAAGTCTCTATCTTCAAAATCATTGCTGTCTGCTTAGGGGATGGGGTGATGCCACGTTGAACTGAGTACCAACAAGCAGCTCTGAGACAGAGCTGCAACAGACCAACAAATATGCAAAAGAGAACAGTCACAAAACATTCCTCTAAACAGTAAGATTTCAATACCTATGTAAGGAAGAGGCTTTCTCAGGGTGAGAGAGGGGATTGAACAGGAACAATAAATGACAGCAGAAGTGACGAAAAGGATACCAAGTAGAAATCCATGAGAAGATGGACTATATGCACATCAGTGAAAAGTAAATGGTAGGACAGGAAAATAAGTCAGAAAGGCATCACAGTGGAGCTGACAAGGTAGAAAATTCACCCTCATTAGTAGGAATTATGTGTCAGTGAGTTTCTGGGCATGGAAGAATACAATCAAATCTGAATGTTTAGAAAGCTGGTTTGGAAAATTGTCCTGAATGGGCCAGGAGACAGAGTCAGGTTCTGCCTATGACACTGGGAGTAAGAGAGACAAACTTAAGGGAAGCCAAACATAAGACCAAGGTACCAAAAGAGGGCAACCACAAAATACACCTAGATGTACTCAAGCACGAAGCATGCAAAATGTGACTGCACTGACATGGGCTTCACTGCAAACTATACAGGGCTTCAAAAATTTAGCATGAAAGAACAAATGTCAAATATCCTCTTCCTAATTGTATACTAATTATACAGTGGGATGATAATGTTTTAGACATGTTGGGTTACATAAAAGTTTATTAAATTAACTTGACCTATTCCTTTTTACTTTTTAAGTTGATGCCTAGCAGATATTTTTGAAGTGGATAATAAGGTTGCATTGTGCTTTTGCTGATCAGCACTGGAATAAGCGTAGAGCAGAAGACAGTGGAGAAACCAGAAAAGCCACAAAGGAACAAAAGCTGGGTGGTACAACATTGCTGCCAGCAGATACCAAAGTTTCTGTGTTCATCCCTTGAATAGCATACTAGCAGCAGCGGCGGCAGTGACAGCAAAAATCCAGTGGAAATGCGCCTTTGTTTTTGTGCTGTAAAGGAGCAGAGCAGGACGGAGAGAGGTGAGAAGTGGCAGAGGAAGTGGGCTGGTAGCTTCTTTTCAAGAAATATCTAAAAGAGGAATTAGCAACAAAAATAAATGTTGAAGATACCGAAGAGGAGCATGTCCTGGCTTACTCTATGTTCACACTGACATTAAAAGTTGAGCAAAGATGTTTTTCATGCAGATCATTTGTTGTGAAAGGGAAAAAGGGGAATATGGAGACAATATTATTGGGAAGAGAAAGCCAGAGGAAGAAGCTGAAGTGTGCATAGTCCTTTCTGTCTCAGGCACACTCTCCCCTCCTGGCACAGCCCTGCCCTGGCAGATGTGGATGGAGCTGCTTTTCTGATATATCCTTTCATGATGCTCCTGCCTTCAGTAACAGCTTCAAGATCGTGAAGACCACTCACTTACGTTAGTAGATAGAATAATATGAAGTTTGTTTTTCAATTTTTCCTTCTAAATATTATTCTGAAATCACCTTTTTCCCCCTAGTTCTTACAGTTGGTAAAAGTTTGCTTCATTAACAAGAAAATACCTAGTTTTGTACACTGAAAAAAGACAATACTGAGGCAGGGGATTTAGCTCAGCAGCATAAGTGCCTGCCTAGCAAGTGCAAGGTCATGAGATCAATCCTTGGTACCAAAAAAAGGGACAATATTTATTGCATATCCTGAGGAGAAAGAGAATCTACTACTCATCCACAAGTCTTACTTTGAATGGCCTCTTGTTCCAAGCCTTCGGGTTGTTAAGAGGGGGAATTTCTGGCGAATTGTCTAAAAAAAAAGAAAAAGAAAAAAGACAATTACTTTGGTTTTACTAATGCAAGCCACTCATAATCAATTAACCTGAGGAAAAAATATTGAATTCCAGGGAACCTCTAAGTGCGGTCTTATAATAGTTGGGGGTAAGAAATGTATCGGCAGAAGCCGAGAGGTATTTTGATAGGTGCGTTGTACTCCTGTGTCAACCAAACAGATGCTTTTTCTTGATATCACTACTGAGACAATATGTGGAGAAAGAAGATTTGGGTTTGTTTATAATGATCCCATCCATCCAAAGTTTTACTTATGATTAAATACCTATCCCCACCCCTAAGACGAAACTTAGATTTTAAAAGATCCACATATGAACTTCAGAGGGTTCCACAGCAAACGTTATACCTGTGTTAATCTCCTGGAATCTGTGACTATAATTTTCATTAGATTTTTAAGGTGCATGCATTATCCCCAGTTAAGAATTACTGCTGTAAAACACACTCACAAAATGATAATGTTCACATGGACATTGCAAGCAGCCTTATATAACCTACTCAGTTTACAGAATGAGTGAACATCATTCAAAGAGATGAAGGACTTTGCAGAAAGTCTCACAAGTTAGTTGTGGTTGTGGCTAGACCCCAGGGCAATTGATTACCATCTGCCATATTACACTGTCTCCATCATAGTTTTCAAAATAAATTTTTTTTAAAAATTGAGATTCTAGGCCACAGCATTCATTATTTTCTGGACAATGAATCCCTCTGCAGGTTAGAATTTGGATTTCTATTTACATGAGATACAGTATTTTGAGTTCTAAGCTTTTTAAAAATTCTCTGGCATAGCCTTGATTCTCAGACAACGAACCATGACAAAGGTCTGAGGGAACAAAGCTTCCTGAAAAGATGACTATTCTTTCCTGAGCCTCAAAATATCAACATACATAAATATAGTAGGATCGGCCCATGGATTCCCATCCTAACCATACAGTATGGGTAGAAAGAAATGATTTTAAATGAGAGAAATCTAACCAATCCCATTATAAAATCTTCAATTTGGAGTATTAACATACTCAGAGTATAACAGAGACTTAGGAAAACTATTGAGATAAAAAAATGAAAACATACAGACTCAGACAATTGAAATAATATGAATAAACCCTAATTGTATCATCCATCATCTCCATTTTTTGCTTCTCCACACAGCCACACCATCCTCTTTACAGAGAAATGAGCCTGCTTTAAATTCACAAAAGAGCTCCTGGTGGTCAGGATTCTACTGTTCAAAATGAAGGTGTAACCACGCAGGAGTTCCAAACACAGAATTTAAGATATTTCAATTGTACCCGCAAAGCAAACACTTCAGCCTCTCTTCAGAAAACTTGCTCAGAGTAATGTGGACCATATGCTTCACCTGCCTGTAACCACAAGATGGTGGCCAATGTGTGTTGCTCACCTTCCCAAAGGTAGCTGCGCAGGCTGGCTCCAGTCTCTCTTTTCTGCAGAAATCCAGGTAGTGTGCATAAAGGATGCAGCGTGGTAAACAGACACCTTCACACACTATGTAATTCTCTTCAAGCCTAAGAAAAAAGGCCAAAAATTAGGTAAAACTTTTTTCCTTATTATTATTTTTCCCTTTTCTCAGTAACTTAATGGTCATTTTGAAAGCAGACTCTATAAAATAATGAGTAGACTGGCTTTATTTTGGATATTATCAAAAATTAGACCACAGTGAATATAATTAACAATAACGAACCATATATCTCAAAATAGAAGAGAGGAACTTCATAAAGAAACAAAAAATTAAGGATATAGATATGCTAGTTATCTTGAGTTTATACTATTCAATGTACACAGGAATCAAAATATCATATTGTGCTTCATAAATGTGTACAAATATTATGTATAAATCAAAAACATTTTTTAAATTTTAAACTTTTTTGGGACATAAAGAAGGCAATTGCCCCAGGTGGGCTTGATCTAATTTGATGAGCCCTAGAAAGTCGGTGTGAAGGTCAGAGACAGAAGACTGAAAGATTTAAGCAGTGGCAGACACACTCATGCTGAAGAGATTGAAAAAGTATGATGTTGTGTTTTGAAGAGGTCCACCTCTCAGAGAGTAACAGGTGGCCTCTTAGAACTGAGGGCTTCAGTTCGAACAGCTGGAGAGAAAAAAAAGTCTCTCGATGGCCAGTGAGATTAAAAGAAAACTCAGAGCCTCAGAGGATATTTCAGCATCAAAAGATAATTGATTTCAGCCTGGTGAGACCACACACTTAGTGCCAGGAACTCGTTCCAGACTTCTGACCCGCAGAAACTGTTGTGTACTACATTTGCAGGTTGAGGCAAAACAAATCAAGTCACAGAGATTAATGTTAGAGGAGCAAGAAATCCAGTGAACATCTGCTAGTGCAATTAAAATACCACAGCTAATATAAAATCTCTCCTCCTGACCCACACTGAAACATTGGATCTTCTCCACAGATCCTCACTGCTCATCGTGGTTGACACCTTGATACGTAAATATCAATTATGAGGCTGAAAATAGCAGGTTTCTAAAAGAGTATCCTCAACACCAAAGGGCTGCCAGGCTTTAGGATGGTGAATGCTTACGTAGTATTACTTTCATTCACAGGCTACTCCTGAATCTTGAGTGCTTAGAGAAGGATGAATTTGTTCACAAAATACATGCGATAAACAATTTCACTTGAGTGTGAAGTTGATATGACGCATTTCTATCCTTACATCATTTTACTGTGTACAATGATGTGCTATGTTGTACAATGTGTACTATATGTACAATGATGTACAATGATGATCTAAAACATCCAGTATACCTAAAACATAACCCCAGTGTTGTCTCCAAACACAATGCATGTCCTTTCAACTCCATTTTATAAATTATATGCATCTTGAAATTTTAGCATAATACATTTAATTTGCAATTAAGAGAAATTTATATAAATGCCATAAATATTTGTGCTAGAAGTACCTAAACAGTAATCTAGAAATAAAAACTTCAAGATTCTATTCCTAGTCTAACAGTTTAGTAGGCTATTTAGGATAAAAAGTTATACCAACTTTATGAATGGTAAAATCATAATTATTTATAATTTAAGAACAACATAGAATACAAAATTAAAATTAAAATTAGGGGTGGAATCCTTCAAGACTTCTGATTTAACATATTCCCAATACACATAAGATAAAGGTTAAAAGTGTGTCTCCTGAGAAGGTAATGTATGAGACATCCATTTTTCTATGAAGAAAAAGAAAGATTAAAATTAGAACTATGGTTTCAAAAGGAATGAATTTGCATACATAAAATGAAATACGTGAAAACTGTAGCTAATGAGACAAATTTTTCACTTCGATTTTCAGTTCTAATTTTTAACCTATACTCTATAACTTCATAGAAGGCTATAACTTTAAAGAAAAATTCTATAACTTTATTTATAACTTTAAAGAAAAATTCACAAAATAAAAATAACTCAGATCTTTAAAAATTTATGATCTTCATTTTTAAGAGTGGAAAATTTAAACAAAAATTATAGTATTTTATATTTTTAAAAATATGAAAATTTCTGAGAAATATTTAGCTATTTAAAATTATGTTTTAACAATGTATATAATATTCACTTTTCATCTCTCTTAATATTGTTGTAGACATTTTTGTATATAAACAGGGCCAGGGAGTTAGCTCAGTAGTTCTAGCACTTGCCTACTAAGTGTGAGGTCAAGAGTACAATTCCCCGCACCAAAATAAATAAACGTTAAAAAATTTAAAAATTGAGTAGTTGTAGATACAAATACAGTATTAATTTGGGAATAGACTTGAAGCTGTTCCCATTCACTTCATTTGAACTGAAAATTAAAAAGTAATCACACAAAATATCTCCAGAATGCATATGAAATCAAAACATTTTCCCCAATTATCCTAATAATTTAGTAAATACTACTGATAATCAACTCAATTACCATATTTACAGATCTAGCGAATTCTTAATTAGTAATGTCAACATAAAATTTAATAAAGTACAATTTTAAAGGAATATTGGTTTATATTTTATATATTTGAGAGAAGTCATGCATGCAAGTACAAAAATTCAGTATATAAAAATTATAATTTAATGTTTAAGTAAATGAAAATAAATTTTATTGTATTTTAATCTATTTTTTCCAACGTTTAGATTATATTTTATATATAAATAGTCGACATAGTGAGTCATTAAATATATGATCCTTTTATCTTTCACTATTTGAAATTTGGGAGAAAATTATACTCCCATTTCTTCATATTATACAGAAGAGTTGTACTCTATATTTTTACCTTAGAGCTCTTTTCCTTTTAGATATATATTACAAAATGTTCTTTATATGTAGAAAACTTATTCTTGTTTTTAAGACTTTAAGTGCAATACCTGACATTTTTATAGTGAATCATATATGATAAGTGCTACAAAAAAGCTGAAAATTTATTTAAATTAATAGTGATTTCTTAGCTGTTAAAAGTCTGCCGTTTCATCTGCTTTATAGCCAATACAATATATTTAATTGTCCCTCCTGCGGATCAGTGTTAGATCCTTACTCCCCTTAAGCTGGTTTTTAAGGATCATATTTTATAAACTAAAACTGCCCAGTAACACGTGAGGACTGGGATGACCGCGTATTCAGTGCGTAAGTGTGAAAAATTGTTACTGCTCACACTCGCAGCAGTTACAGGTGAGCCACGCGTGCCAGGCGAGGCTTCCCCAACGCCGGACCGCCTCGCGCTCCTCCGGCAGCGCAGCAGACGCGCGGCTCCGGGTGAGTTTTGCACGCGCACGGACGGCTCGGCAGGCGCCTCGGGCCGGCGAGGACGGGACCCCGCCCGGCTCGGACACCCCGCTCACGCCCGCGACCCGCCAGCCTACACCCCGCGGCGCGCCGCACCCCGCTTTACCACTGCAGCGTGCGCTGTGCCTGCCGCTTCTTGTCGCGCATCAGCTGCGCCGCGGATTTGCGCGGGGACAGGCGCTGGTCCGCGGCCGGGGCTTTGCCGTCCGGGTTCTCCGCGTCCTCTTCTTCCGAGGAAGAGTTGCCGTTGCTTACACGCATTTCTGATTGCAGGTTTAGGGAAGATAAAGAAACCACGGTCACGCGAGGAGACTGCCACGCCTGCTCCCGCTCGGGCGCCGACTCCGTCCCCCGGGCGCAGCCTTTGGGGATGGAGCTGCGCGGGCCGAGCGCTCACCTGCCTTCACCCCGCGAGCCGCCGGGGGCAGCTGGGGCGCGGGCTGCGCACGCGGGGCGGCGTCCTCCAGGTCGGGAACCCGGGCCATCTCTTGCCAGACACTTGCCAGGCTCAGCCGGCTCCTGGGGCCGGCGGGGACAGCGGGGACCCAGGCGGGGCTCAGGGACCTCGCACAGTGTGGTTCAACCCGACCCGAGCGAGGGAGGCCGAGGCAAGATTGCTCCTCCCACCGCCCGCCCTCCTGGCGGCCTCTGCGGTGTCCACCGCCTCGCGCGTCACGCCCTGAGTTCCCACACCCCAGTCTTGATTCCTTTCTCTAGCTTTTTGCTGGGCCCAGAAGCACTTTGCACTCCTAAAACTTCCAGAAGGTCCCAGAAAGCGCCACTGTTCTTTCCTCTTCTCCAGGGAAGAGCAGCGTCTTCCCTCCCTACTCTCAGGGACTTACCAGAGACACCTTCCCGGAGGCCTGACGCTGCGAGCTCCGGAGGAGGAGGGACCGCCCAAAGCTCCCTCGAAGCTGCACTGCGCTGTCAAAATGCGTCCTAGAACTACCTGAGGTTGCTGGGGCTTCGGTGCCGCAGCCTGCACACCGCTGCCTCTGACTGCCGGCCTCACAGCCCTCCAGGACGTGGCCCTGGGCTTGGAGGCAAAGATGCATTTCTTCCATTTACGCTATCTCGTGACTTAACTCCTCGTCTCACACCAGAGATAAACACTTCTTTAACTGAAAATGAAACCGAGGTAATTTTCCAGCCCCAACTGGTAAGAGTCCCTCATTCGTGCCCTCCAAGTCCAGGGTGCAGCGAAAGGTCCAGCTGCCTGGTGGGCGCGTCTCTTCTTCCTTCCATCCTCCTCCTCTTGACAAACGCGCCCTCTCTCTTCTGTTCTTCTTCGTCCCCAGGAACGGCAAGGGTCCTCCTGGGGGTCACTGCCTCAGCATAGCAAGCTTGTCGATCTATCTTGGGTCCCTAAAGAGAGGACCCTTTATTATTTAACAGCATTGAAATTTAACTCATAAAAAACAAGATGAGATCAAGCCAGTGCGTGACTGAATGGTGACTATGGGGAGGAGCTGGGCATCATCAGAGGGTGACCTTGCTAAATTTACAGCTGTCCTTGAACTTCCACTTTTAGCACCGATTCTTGGCATCCCCTGTCTGCCAGAGAGTTCCTCTATCAAAGATTTCTCCCTTTCCTGGCACCTCCCAGTGGAGTCAGACAGGGGCCACACCCCCAAAGCTGTGAGGCAGTCCACTCCCTGGAACTACTCGCCACACTAAGGCTCCTCCAAGGCTCCGGATGCTTCAGCACTGGGTCAGTCCCCAGAGCTCAGCCCTAAAGGTGAGAGTGCGGCTCCTGCAGGGGAAGGCTCAGAACTGCTCTGTACTGGAAGCCCTGGCTATCAGCCCTGTGCACACGAAAAGACCCTCCACACTTCATTGCATAACCAAGATAGAGATCAGAAGTGCCACTGGATCTCTTTTTTTTAAATGTAAAAATTCTGACCACTTGATATGCTGTGGCATGTACTTATGTACGATGAATCAACTAAACTGGTGAATGGAAACACAAACCTCCTCACCGGAGGCCCTAAATGAACTTTTTGCCTTAGTAAAGTGTCTGCCTAGCATACATCATGAAACTTATTTGTGTTTCTCTTCAGAGATACGCAAACTGAGCAGGCACATAACAAGTAAAGAGACTGAATCAACAGTCGGTGAACTTCAACATTAAAAAGCCCAGAGCACGATGGCTGCAATGGTGAATGATACCAAATGTTTAAAGAATTTACACCAATCTTCTTAGACTATGGGAGGTGGTGAGAGCAGTGCCCAGGGCAGGGGGAGAAAAGTGTCGTCCTCCCAAACTGTTCTTTTGATCACAGATGGCCTCCATGTACGTGGGGGATATGGCCTAAGACTCCCAATGGTTTTCTGAACCCCTGAGAATACTAAATCTCAAGCAGTGTTTCCTTCCTATGTGCCCTGCTGCTTACCTCATTAGAACAGAGTAACCTGTCCTGCACCCTTGTCCTGTGCCTTCTTTGTGTCACTACGTTACACTTGGGAGCCATGATTGAGAACAATAAGGGTTAACTGGACACAAGCACTGCAACTCTGTGGTGACTGATCTGATAACCCAGATAGCTACTCAGTGACAAGGAAGCTGGCAGCAAATACACACCAGCATATCCCAGACAGGACACTTGGGACGTCACTTCAGTTCTCCCAGCAGCAACTTGTGAATAATTTATTTTTAGGCTTTTCTATTTAATATTTTTGGACTATAATTTGCCTTGGGTATCTCTTACAAAGTAAAAGCTTGGATAAGCAGAGACCAGTATATTGTAATTAATTTGGGCTCATGAGACCAAGTTTTAGAGAAGCAGTAGTGACAAGCAAGTCATATGGACCCAGGTATCAAAATAGGTAAATATGAGTCATGCTTTTGAATTGTGATTCTTAAGATTTTAGCTTTTTAGTACTTTCTTTCAGACACTTACTTAAACCATAAACTCCCTCCGTGTTGATGTCCCTGAGTGTAATGACTTACAGACAAATAAAATTCTGCATATAGTATGGTAGATATCAAATAAAAAGTTTGAAAACACTGATTATGTTTTAAGAAAAACATGTGATATCTAAGAGGAGATTCTGTGACTTTCCCAGATGAAGTTATTGTCATGACTTGGAAGTGTCATTAAAGAAGAAAGGAAGGACAATTTGATATCAGATATATTGGCACTCATTCTCACTGTGACTCTGGGAACTTATCTTCCTCTGCTGTCTCCCTCTCTTTAAATTGGAAAAATGTAACCCATTTGTAATGCAATCTAGTAGAATAGCATTCTGCTCAGATAGCCTTACTTCCTTTATACTTTCTCAGAACCCCTCCTCAGCTTCTGCCTCCTTTTGTTTCCAAGAATCTAGAACCAAGACACCACCTGCAAACACCAGAGACTGCACTGGAGTGATTGCCCTTGGCTGCCAGCCAACTGTTGCCCATGGACAGAGAGCACCTGGGTGTTGGCTTACTCCCTGGGTAATCCTGGATCAGTAGCTATTGAATAGTGAGACTAACAGTTCAATGCTTTGGTTTCCTGTGGGCAATTCTGGTGTGTAATTTACAACCCACAGATGTCAGGGGTCAGACTGAAGCCAAATATACTGCTCTGGATCCTACTTTTGTTTGTTTTTTTTTTTTTTCTCCTCTCTTCTCCTACCTTCGCTCCTTTTCTCTTTTCCTTTAGAAACACTTCCTTAAGATCGCTTTTGTAGATGAATATTTGACCCTGTTTCACCATCAACCCACTAAAGTGCCCCTTTAGTGGATTGGTCCATAGATTAAATGAAATATAAAGAAGGATGTTATATAGTCCCTGGAACAGAATAAGCCCTCAAAAATGTCTAATCTTTTTATTCTAAACTTTACGTGCTTTTGTTATCATAGGCAAAGAAAAATTTTCCTTGTCACTGCAGGATTCTGAAAACTATCTTTTTCATTGTTTAAGCTATTTCTGGGCATATGATAATCTAGATCAATCATATACTGTAAAACTTTCTCCTGTGAGCATTCACATATTTCCTGATTTTCTTTCTGTTATCCAAGATTACACTGTAAATACAGCACATACATCAAGTGCTGTCTCTTGTTAATAAATTCACGATTTTGGTGTTTTTAAATATGAGTAAGTTCAAGTCATTAACCTAACAAAGAGCCACCAGATAGATGGCATAGCTACTGTGCTGATTATTCTTAGTTTTCAACTAGACTAGATTGAGAGACTTGTAGAAAATTGGTGAAGAGTTCTGCATGAGTCTGTGAGGGTTTCTCTGCTACTGGTGTGTGTGTAGGAGATCTGAGCTGGGAGGGGAGGACCCACAGAGTGTGGGAGCATCATTCAGTATGGTCGGGGTTCAGAGGAAACAAAAAGAAGAAGGAATCTCACAAGTGTATACTCAGTCTTTCCTGAGCATGTTTATTTTCTATTAACTCTTTTGTGGAGTTTTTGGAGTCTTCTATGTAGAGTATCATGTCATCTGCAAATATTGATAACTTAACATCTTCCTCTCCTATCCTTATTCCTTTTAGTCTTTCTCTTGTCTAATTGCTCTGGCTAATGTTTCCAGAACTATGTTGAATAACACTAGTGACAGTGGACATCCTAGTCTTGTTCCTGATTTTAAAGCTTTCAGATTTTGAGCATTTAATATGATGTTGGCTGTTTGTTTCTTATAGATAGCTTTTATTAGATTGAGATGAAGACTATTCCAATGTTTTGCAGGGTTTTTATCATGAATGAGTATTGGATTTCGTCAAATGCTTTTTCTGTGTCTATTGAGATTATCATGTGGTTTTTGTTGCTGGCTTTGTTGAAATGGTGTATTACATTTATTAATTTGCATTAACTATCCCTCCATCCCTGGGATGAATCCTACTTGGTCATGATGTGTAAGTGTTTTGATGATTTGCTGCCCTCTGCTTATCAGTATGGTACTGTGAAGAGATTGGCCTGTGGTTCTCTTTTATGGTAGGATCCCTGTCTGGTTTTGGTATTAGGGTCATGCTTGCTTTCAAGAATTAATTTGGGAATATTGCTTCCCTTTCAGTTTCATTAAAGAGTTTGAGAGTAACAGTTATTAGCTGTCCTCCAAATTTCTTGTAAAACTCAGCAGACTCCTGAACCTGAACTTTTCTTTGCTGGTAGAGTTTTAATTATGTCTTCAATTTCATTGACTAATAGTGGCTTATGTAAAACTTTTATATCTTCTTGATTCAGCCTTAGTAATTTATATATGTCCAGGAATCTGCCTAATTCTTCTGTGTTTTCTCTCTTATTAGAATACAATTTCTCGAAGTAGGTATTAATAATCTTCCAGATTTCTGCAGGATCTCTTTTGATTTCACCCCTTTCATTCCTAATGGCATGAATTTGAGTATCTTTTTCCCTTTATGATAAGGTTGGCTAAAGGATCTGCCAGTTTTATTTATTCTTTCAAAGAACCAAATCTTTGACTCATTGACTCTTTACATTGTTTCCTTACTCTCCATTGCATTACCTTCTGCTCTGATCTTAATAATTTCTTCCCTCATATGAACTTTGGACTTGACTTACTCTTCTTTTTCTAGATGTTT